TATTAAAACAATGATCACCGAAAGAATGCTTTAAGAGAATAAAATTACATACACACACAGGTAAAAAAAGGATATATGCAGTGTTATCTTCATTTTAGATGTCAAAAGGGTCTCTCTCTCTCTGTCTCTCTCCCTCCCTCCCTCTCTGCCCTTGGTCTGCCACTCCTCTTCCCCCACTCTCTTTCTTTCTCTCTCTTTCCTCTCTCTCCCCCTCCCTCTCTCTCTCTCTCTCTCTTTCTCCCCCCCCCCCATCTGCTGCTCACCTGGCAAGCTTCAAGTTGTTCTCCAACAATCTCAGGGGTAGGCAACCTCGTCTCTTTTATGACTCATGGACTTCAACTCCCAGAATTCCTGAGTCAGCCTAGCTGGGCTAGCTAGCTCTCCTGCCCTTCCTGCTTCCTGCTGAGACGCAGCAAAGGGAGTCAGCTCCTCGGAGAACAATGTGAGTGAACTCTCTTTTTTACACACACACACACACTTTTACACACACACATACTTTTACACACACACACAAACAGAGAGAGAGAGAGAGAGAAAGAGAGAGAGAGAAGCAAGGAAGCGCAATTGCCTCTCTCTGTCTCTGTCTCTCTCTGCAAAGGCAGAGGAGGCTGGGAGCCACAGGGGAAGGCTCAAAGAGCCGCATGCGGCTCCGGAGCCGCAGGTTGCCGACCTGTGCCCTATACCATTTCGGACAAGTGACTGTCTAGTCTCCTCTTAAAAATCTCCAGTGATGGAGTGCCCACAATTTCTGAAGGCAAGTTGTTCCACTGTTAATTGCCCTCATTGTATTCATCTTCATTAGTACATATTCTCATTCATAAAAACAAAATACTTCTCATCCAGTTTGAATCTCTGTCAACTGCACATAAGTAAACCATTGACAAATATGACCTTTCTGGTTCTTAATTTAGAGATGTCTAGACACCTTAAAGCTAAGAAACATTGCTCTATAATATCAGAATAAATACCAACAGCCATCACTTTGTTACAGCTTTTTTCAGACACACATGTTGTTTTGAAAAGGTGTTTTAGAAGTCAGCCTTCCTCAACCTGGCGGGCAAAAGCAGAAAATAAGGGAAACTGGGACATCAAAGACTTGATTTTCCATCTTCACCAATTACCTTAAGGCAGAATTGCATCACAGAGAAAGAATGCAGAGGCTGATTCTTGTGCAATCTGACTTTTGTGCAAAAGTATCTGTTGGCACACGTACCACTTGCTAGTTTTGTTTGAACCCATGCCATCTTCTCCTAGTTGGCAGCTGCACTAGTTAGCTGGGAAGAACATCCAAGCCACAACCTCAACCTGCCAGAGTTTGGCTTTTTCAGGAAATGAGACTATGTTATGTTCTACTTCACCTACCTTGCTAAAACATCTCAGTTCTTTAAGTCCCCACTGTTGGTCTACTCTAGACTCAAATAGGAAGGTTCAAAATCCACTTAAGACTGTTGAGTGTCTATGTGTGGGTCACGGGTCCTGGGGCAATGTCTGCAGTTTTACAAGCATTAACAGGTACATGGTGGAAAGATTAGAAGAGAATAGATTGCATCAAAAATATTTGGCAAAACCTGAAGCCAATCCACCCTTCTTGGGAAGTGAGCTTACCTGGTCATGTAGAGCAGCGGTTCTCAACCTATGGGTCACGACCCCATTTGGGGTCGATCGACCATTTCTCGGGGGTCGCCAAACAAGGCGATCCGCCATTTTTCCCCCTCAGGGGGCGGCACCGTGCATGCGTGCCGCGCATGCGCAGCACGTTTGTGTGACGGGGGTCGCCGTCACACAAACGTTGAGAACCACTGATGTAGAGGCTTCTCTCCTGAATGTAGCAGAGCCTCTCTTTTCCACAGCAGTCTTTCTTGCAGAAACAACAAAATACTGGGCGAGGGACAGGGTGGGATGGATACTGTGACTGAGGAGGGAGAACAGTTATATACAGGTAGTCCTGGCATACGGCCACAACTGAACCCAAATTTTTCATTGCTTAGCAAGATAGTTGTTAAGTGAGTTTTGACCCATTTTATGACTTTCCTGCCACAGTTGTTAAGTGTATCACTGTAGTTGTTAACTTGGGAACACGGTTGTTAAGTGAATCTGGCTTTCCCATTGACTTGGCTGGTCAGAAGATCGCAAAAAGTGACAAGTGACCCTGGGACACTGTAACTGTCATAAATGCATGCAGTTGCCAAGTGCCCTAATTTTGATCATGTAACCATAAGGCTGTTGAAATGGGCAGGTGAAAAATGGTCATAAATGACTTTTTTCAATGCATTGTAACTTGGTTGTTTGCTTGCAGATGTTTTTTCAGTGCATGGATCAAGTTACCTAATCAAGTAGTGAAATGTCTGCAAGTAAATAACAAAGCTCAGAGAGGACTCCATAATTCATTTTTGAGCATTGTTTATATTTGGGTGACAGGGAGGAAGTTGAATGCTGTGGAAATAAAGTGGTTAAGTACATGTGAGATGAAAATAAGAGATAAGAATAAATGGGTGCTCAATTAATGCAGACTAAAGGGAATGATGAGCATTGAAGAAATATGTTGAAGCGGTTGGGTCATCTAGAGATAATGAATGATGGTTAGATTGCAAACCTACATAAAGAAAAGGAACTACATGGGTGAGGAGAAAGGAGAACGAGTAAGTTGTGGTTGGATGGAGTTGAAATCTTCAGAGAGGTGAAAAAGGACCAATGGAATAATGTGTAGACACTTTAAGGAAGCAGAAATAGGAAACACATTCCACTGTGACTTTTGAGTGGCAGCACACAGAAGAATCTTTCTATGTAGAAATGGCTTCCCGCTCTTTGGGGAAGTTGATTTCACATAGTGGCTTAGAAGGAAATTTTATTTATTTATATTTGTGTTGTTAAACAAAGAGCTTACAAAATCCACATTGCTTCTGGTTGTTTTAATGCTGTTGTTCTTACTTCAAGTTGGATAGTGACAGCTCTCAATGACTCAGTAGCTGTGGTTCTTTTCTTAATACCCGATGCCTGAGAGTGTCTAGACACGCTCTCCTGGTTCCTTTGGGCAAAAATTGCAACATTCAAAGGATGCAGCTAAGTCTTTTCCTCCCAAAATAGAAGAACAACAAAGTGCAAGGATTCATTTAGTACTGTTGAAGATGGATGGTTAAAAGCGTTACATGAATCTGGTATTGGACAGTAGGGAAAATGGCTTGCAGTGTGCATTTAATGACTAAGAATACATTTTGTTCTGTGTTCATCTGTGTAAAGGACTGATTTGGTATTATTTGCGCAACATGTTTAACTGAGTCAATTGTGGGTATTGCATTGCTCAAATCTAATCCAATTAATTAACCTTGGCAACTAGTCTGAGATAGCTTCGTTTGGGCCTGAATATCTCGGACTAAACTATTTGAGCTCAGCAAACAAAATGTTAAAATGTACACACACACACACACACACACAGGGGAGGGGGGGGCTGTGAAGTGGCTGCCTGTCCCTTTTGCTTGAATCCCATCCTGAAATTCAGCCACACAAAAAGATGCTAGGTCTCTGAAATGTTTTAAACAATTTTTTTAAAGTATGCCAAAAAAAAAAAACAGCTCTCTCTTTTTCCATGCATTTTTACTCCTAACATTTCCCTATAAAAGAAGATGGTAAAGGTAAAACATCTCTCTTTTAAGGGGATTGTGTGAACAACCCCCCCCCCCTTTTCTCCTTCCTCTGACTTTTTTTAAAGGCCAGGGAAGGTAGGCTTTATCACCTTGCACCTAAGTCAGAGGTCCCCAACCCCTGGTCTGTGGACCGGCACCGGGCCGTAGGATGCCAGAAATTGGACCACACAAGCAAGTGAAGCCCCATTTGTGGAGTGCAGGCAGCGCGTGAAACCACGCCCCCTCCGGTCCATGGAAAAACCTCTCTCCACAGAACCGGTCCCTCGTGTCCAAAAGGTTGGGGTCCTCTGACCTAGGTAATATTTTTGCGTGCATATATATGTGATATCACTGTCCTATCCTGGATGTCTGTCACACAAATATGAGAATTTTTAAAAAGTCTTATCACTTGACGCAATATGTTATCCTTAGTCTACAACAGGGCTTTTCAACCAGTGGTACGGGTACCACCTGTGGTACATTGGCACCTGGCAGGTGGTATGCAACCATCCCAGAAAAGTGGTAGCGGGGGAGGAGAATGAGCTGAACCGGTGGCAGCAGAGCAGAAGCCTGAGTGAGAGATGGCTGCAGTGGCAGGGCTGTCAGGGCTCAGCGGAAGCACCAGGATCAGTGCCGCTTTCCAGCTGATTGGCACTTGTTCGGGGCTGTCAGGGCTCAGCGGAAGCGCCAGGCTCCAGCTGGAGCTCGGCACTGATCCTGGCGCTTCTGCTGAGCCCTGAAGAAGCACCAATCAGCTGGAAAGCAGCACTGATCCTGGCGCTTCTGCTGAGCCCAGAAGAAGCGCCGATCAGCTGGAATGTTGCAGCATCTCCAGGGTCTTGTGATTTACATTCAGATGCTTGGCAACTGATTCATATTTATGATGGTCACAGTGTCCCAGGGTCATGTGAAGTGACCAAAACCTGCTGCAACCACCCAGCAGACGGGGGAGCATAAAAACCAAACAACCCCCCACCCCATTCCCGCTGTCAGTCGTCAACAGAAATGCTCACGACAATGAAAACCTCGGACAGGAGGAAGAGCGTTGCCGGGTGGACAGGCAGGTGTCTTGCTCAGCTGTGGCTTGGGGGGCACTTTTTTCAGTGCCATTGTAACTTCAAACAGTCACTAAACAAATTGTTGTAAGTCGAGGACTACCTGCACTTTATCACTTTTTTCCTTTTTTTTCTTTTTTTGGTCACCAAGTTTTTGACCCCTTGCTAGGCAACTGGTGGTACTCTGATGCTGCCATATCCTAAAAGTGGTACAATGGGTGAAAAAGTTGAAAAGCCCTGATCTACAAGATTTCACCATACTTCTTGAAGTGGCAAGGTACTCATGATCTTTAATAACTGTTCTTATATTTTTTTCCCCATTTAGATATAAGGCAAGCTGAGAAATAATCGTGTTCTGGGCATCTATGCAAGGTGAAGCTGAAACTGAAATTTGGGTGACTGTTGCTCTGGCTGATCAAAACTTAAAGGAGACACAGAACTTTCCTTAGCTCTCAATAATGAAGATCAACCACGCAAGACCTACAACATCAGTTCTGTTCAAGGTTATTCCCCCCCCCCCAACTTCTCTGGAAATAGAGGGTTCCCCCCCCCCAAGAAGTAGAGAATATAGAAATATGACTTTTAAAAGATGCCTGTGCACCAGGCAAATTTGGAGACTGATCCGCCGTGGATCTAGAGTGTGCCTTGAAAAGCCAAAATTTAGAAACTTTTTTACTCCCAACATTATCCTGTAAAAGAAGAAGGTAAAGGTGAAACACCTCTCTTTTAAGGGGACTGTGTGGGGGAAAAGTCCCTACCTTTTCCCCTTCCTCTGAATTTTTTTAAAGGCCAGGAAAGATATGCTCTATCACCTTGCACCTGTGTAATATTTTTGTAATTAGTGTAAGGGGTGGTTTAAGAGGCTTGTGATTTCACTGACAGCTTTAATGTTGACTCTACCTCCAAAGTTCGGAATATTGGGGTGTGATTAATTTTTAAACAAACAAACTGTGGAGCCTCCGTGTTCAAACGTGATCTACCACAAAGTAGAAACTGTTAGAGGTGAGCAGGGAAAGGGCTGGCCCTTCAGATCCTGCTTGAGGTAGCATTTCAGATGGAGAAAAATGGTCGTGATCCTGATGTGGACCTCTGAGTTCTAGATTTAGTTATTGTTTTAAAACATCACAGATTTTCCCCTTTCCCGTTCCCTTCCCTGCCCTCCCCCCCCCCGCCAGCATTTTCAGGGATAAGTTGTATTTTGATTCATGTCAGATATCTTATTTTTAAAACATCAGCCATTTGGGCATAAATTAAATCCAGTTATTTATAATGCAGAATAGCATTTCTCTTTTATTAAACTTTGCTGGAATACATTGTGTGAATAGCATTATGTCAAACAGACCAGATTGACACCTTTAATGAATGTTATTGCTACCATTTTACATCAGTATCTATATTGTGGAGCCAAAGTCGTTACTGGCATATTTCTGGGGTTTTTTTTCTTTAACTCTCAATGTGGTTTAGAATTACTCTTCAGACACATAACAGTTTCAGGCAGAGATATAAAGTGCCACTTATTTTAATATATAAAATAATAAATATGACATATGTATAGATCAGTATTTTTTTAAACTTTTGTAACTTTAAGGTTTGTGGACTTCAACTCCCAGAATTCCCCAGCTTGGCTGGAGAATTCTGGGACTTGAAGTCCACACATCTTGAGGTACCAAATTTGAAAAACATCGTTATAGATCAAGTGGAAATATATAAGAAGTGTACATATAATCGTGTAGTAAGCACCATGACAAAAGAGGAGTGATTATTTTAATGTAGATTATTATCCATTTTTTCTTTTGTCCTTTTTTATCCTGGCTCTTGCTATGGTTTTAATCAGGATTGCAATCCCTGGTCTGAAAAATTCTTGCTGCAGAAAGTCAAGTCAGATGTTTGAAAGGGGTAATAATCAGTGAGCATTCAAATGTTTAGAGCAGACTGCTGTTTCCTTTGTGACTGTACTGCAAACTGCAAATATCATGATTCTTGGTAAAGATTTAAGGAACCAAAACAATCCCCCCCCCCCAAATCTAAATTGTGTCTTAAACTATTTTCCTCCTAAAAACTGCTGAAAATGGGAAAAAAATCAGTTCCATTAGGAAAGTTAGGAATGGTAAAATGGATTAAGATGCTCAAAAGAACCACAATGGGCTGGAAAGGCTGGTAAAAACCTATCTCAAATCATTCAAAAGACCAAAGCAGTCTTAAAATGGGCCACCAATCTTCTTGCAATTTCACAAGATTGCATTATTTTCATACCAATTACCAGTACCAAAATATTACTAGACTTTAAGCTGTCATATGACACAGAGTTCAGCATTCTCTGGGGATCTCAATGCAAACTTTATGAGCTTTGAGTGAGCTATATGTATATTAGTATGTGGGAAGGTACTTAATTACCTCTCTTGGCATTGTATAATATGTTGAACCCTGATCTAAAAGGTAGGGCAATGTTGCCAAGAGTCACTGAATCATAGTGTTGACATCCTAGAAAGTTCAACTGCCAGCCCACACTCAGCACAAGAATCTTAATTAATGCTTCTCCAACTGATGGCTCCCAGGCCATCATTAGAACACAGCCAATTAAGGACAGTTACTGAAAATGTCTTAATTATCCTAACCAGCATTCATTTTATGCACAGGCTTACTTGCCATGATTTACTCAAAAGGGAGTTTGTAAAGCCACTCTATTTGCATTTTTCAACAGTAGTTATATCACATCACATGTATGTGCCTTCACGTCTATTACTATCTTTCCTTAATTTGTCTCTCTTTTTAAAAAAACAACATCATTGAAGTAGAGCAGGGGTCTTCAAACTCGGCCCTTTTATGACTCATGGACTTCAACTCCCAGAATTCCTCAACCAGGCATGGTGGCTGAGGAATTCTGGGAGTTGAAGTCCATGAGTCATAAAAGGGCCGAGTTTGAAGACCCCTGAAGTAGAGAGTCATCCTAAAGAGCCATATTGGCGCAATGCTTAGAATGCAACATTGTAGGCTAATTCTGCCGACTGCCAGCAGTTTGATTCTCACCTGCTCAAAATTGATTCAGCCTTCCAACCTTCTGAGGATTATTGGGGGCAATATGCTGACTCTGTAAACCACTTATAGAGGGCTGTAAAGCACTATGAAGCAGTATATAAATCTGAGTGCTAATGCTATCCCATGATGATAGGGAGTCACACCAGTTATTTCTGCACTGTGAAGCAGTATATAAATCTAAGTGCTATTGTTATCCCATGATGATAGGGAGTCCCACCAGTTATTTCTGCATTGCATAAAGAAGTACATGAAGAATTGTCTGCCCAACAATTTCATTAGAAAACAAATACACAGGTAAAAGGATGAAGCGTTTTCAGCTCCCTCCTTTTACAGCACTGTCGCAACAAATTGGCCACATCCACATGTTCCAGGCTGTGGGGTATGCTGCCATGCCACATCACTCCAAGGCTCTGGGCCTAGGACATGGGCCCTGAGCACAAAGGGGAGATGCTGTTCCCCACCTTGCACCACGAAGGAGGATTATCACATCACGTCAAGCAGCTGAAGAAGCTTTACTGGTTGTTGGTTGAAGGCTGGTGGCTGAACATCCTCCAGGTGCGGTAGTCTTTTGCTGTGAAGACTGGGGTGTGGAGAGAAAGGTGGGGCACGTAGCCTGGTTTTCCCTTCAGTTCCTCAGCACAGCGATTGCGGTTGACAACTGGGGAAAAAAGAAAAAGGGAGTTTGTGATTAAAAAGAGGCCTGGGAAAAATTAAGGTGGACTTCCTTGCTTTCATATGCATCACTGGAGGTTTTTAAGAAGAGGTTGGACAGCCATTTGTCTGGAATGGTATGTGGTCTCCTGCTTGAGCAGGGGGTTGGACTAGAAGACCTCCAAGGTCCCTTCCAACTCTGTTATTCTATATTCTGTATATACCTCTTCATGGCCTGGGAATTGGGGGAGCTATTGTCTCAAAGCATCTGGAAGTGTCTCTTGGGGAAGGCAAAGATAGCGCCCACCTATTGCATGTGTGGGAAGTCAGCCCCCCCCCCCCAGAGAAGGAAATATTAAAAGGGCAGAATATTATATTTCCTCAAAAGATCTTAAAAAGGCAGAAAAGCATGCCCAGTTTTTCTTAATAGCCTCAAGTCTCCCTCTCCCAAGAAGAAACCAGCTCTGTAGAAATGCAAATGTAAATAATCCATTCAGGAAGGTTGGAGCCTCCTGCTAGAAGCTTAGAAAGACAAAGACATCCAACATCTACATACCCCACCCAAACTCTAAGACAGGACATAATAGGATTAACCCACAGGGGCACATTCAGACTCGGGTCAAAGTACATGACACAGGAAATACAAAGCCTCAAACAGGAACAGGAAAAAACCTTAAGAGCCCCAGAGGGTATAAAAACCCACTCCCTACATGTGCTCTCTCTCTTCCAGAGCCATCTTCCTGTCTGGCTCTCTTCAATAAACTTCAACCTTCTTTCTAAAGCAGTCGCCATGTTGTTTATTCCCGGCTTGGACTGAACTCTGATGAAGACTCTTCATTCTACACATGCAAGGTTCAAGACCAGCAAGACAAAGGAAAAACCCCTATCAAGATGGCAAAGGAAAAGGGGCCGTTCTTATAGGTAGCCCTCGACTTACAGATATTTTGGACTCAATTGTGGTTGTACATGAAGGCCTATCTGTAGTGTGAGAAATATTTTTTTTATCCAGATCCATTTCACTGGATGATCAATTTTTCTAGAATTGGGGGGGAAAGGCAGGTAGGATGGGGACTGTACCCTCAAGAACCATATTACAAGTCTCTGATGAAGCCCACCTGCCTGAGTTTTTTCCCATGTTTCTTCATCCCCATCCTGCTTCTTACCATATTCTTTGCCAGGAATACTCTTATCCTTCCATAGAAAAGCACCCCATCGTGTGTTAGGATCCGAATACTGAGGAGGGATGATTGGATCATACCAGCTGCTCTCTCGCAAATGCTGGGTGTAACCTGAGGATAAAAGAGAGCAGAAACACAGATGTGAGCCTGCACTGTGTTGCTACAACTGAAAAGGCCAATACTTTATTTCAAGGGTAGAGAGCCATAGCCCTTTTATGACTTGTGGACTTCAACTCCCAGCATGGCTGGATCAGGAATTCTGGGAGTTGAAGTCCGCAAGTTATAAAAGGGCCATGGTTCCCTACCCCTGCTTGAATTAGTTATGTCAGTTTTTTTTAGCTCCTAGCTTAATGGCTTTCAAACTTTTTACCTTCCTTATTGATCTTCCCTACCAAAGATCAGAGTGCTATCATTTAAAATTGATTCCTCCAACTTCCGGTTCCTGATCGCGGCATTTGCAGCCAGCGAAGAGACTGGTCTCTTCGCCAGCTGTTTCTCCGCTGCCGGTAGACCCTTAATCGGGTCGAAAAGCCGCCTTGGACGGGCGGCTACCGCTGAGGAGGTCCTCATTGATTGTGGGAGAGCGGCAGCTTCTTCCACAATCCGAGATTGCTCCTTTGGGCCGATGGTGGAAAGATCGGTCAGTAAAATGGCCGATCACCTTGCCGCTGTAACCAGAAGTCAAAGAACATCTAAGTGCAAGACCCACCGTGGCTGAGCCAGGTGAGACTTTTTGTTTTCCCTCTCTTGGTTCTCCTTTTTTTTTTACCCTGTAAAAAACATTTTGAAATTATTTCCCTGTTCTAAGAAAGCAGTGTTTGAGAGTGTGGGAAAAGAATCTATGGACTGAATTAATTTAAACGGACTTCTTTTTTATTTTTGTTTGTTTTTTACTCACTTTGGGGTCTTGGAAAAAACTGCCAATATTGAATTTACTACTGGAATTAGTCTATATGTGAAGAATTTTTTTTCTTTTTTGCTTTTTCTGATTTTGTTAAGTCATTCCTGGTGTCTGGGAGGAGATTTTATAGTCTACTGAGGACATCTGGTGGAGAAAGTTAAAATTGCAACTGTCTTTTTCTCTGATGGTGAGATTGACTTTGACCTTCAGATTACTACAAAAGGGAAAAGGACAAAGAAACTTAACAGCTGTATTTGTGGGGGTGGATACTGACTAAATGTTTTTGGAATACAGCCTCTACTAAAAGATTACAGACTGTTTTTAATCATTATTGAAATGGAGAAACTCCACAACTTGACTACAAACTCATATTGGAAAAAATTTATGAAATTACTGAGCAAATATGTTTGCAAATTAAAGAATGTACTACAGTAATAAAAAACAGAAACTCTGCTTTGAACTTACAAACTGACCACCAGATTTTATCTGAGCATTCAATAAACCAAAAAACAACAGAAGCGGAATCAACCAATATTAAAGATTTTACTTTACTTCATAAACACTCGAATGGGATTTCCAAGGAACAAAAAAGGACTGTAATTAAACTACTTACAATTACAAACAGAAATTGATATACAAGCTCAATTAATTGAGAACTATGATAGCTTGGATAAGCAATTATTAACTACAAAGTTGGATATGACTGAGTCTGCTATTCAACAAATCCAAATGTTGAGACTTGAATCTTTAAAACAACAAGGGACTATTTATGAAGGACTCGGATCTCTAAAACAGAAAAGGGGACACATTTGTTTGACCCAAATGATACTATGAGGCACAAAAAGAGACTTGTTCACTGATATAGAGGCATTGCTATGGAAACCTGCCTGGCACAAAAAGAAAGCTAGAATAAGATTTAAGAGTGCGATCCAAGCCTCTACCTAACGGGTTTAAAAGGCTTATTAGATATGGACTGATTTATAATTTAAAATAGTTAAATAAGGGGGTTGGACTAGATGACATCCAAGGTCCCTTCCAACATCATCATCATCATCATCATCATCATCATCATTATTATTGGAGGCTGAGTCAACTTTGAGCTCATCAGGATTGACACCCCCCGCCAGCTGTGAGCAGAATTTGCTTGCAATGTTACATTCTAACCACTGCATCAACAGGGCTTCTGCTAAACATACTGTTAGCAGCTAATATAAGCTAAACAACACTTTATTATCAAATAATATTAACATTCAATTCATAATTATTTTTGATTAAATAATAGCCAGTTTGGTCTAATGATTAAGACTAGGGCTAAAGTTAGAAAGTGGTAAAGTGGGAGTTCAAGTCCCGTCTCAGCCATGAAAGACAGCTAGGTGACTTTGAGACAATCATTCTCTCTTAGCCCAGCCTACCTCATAGGGTTGTTGTGGGGAAAAGAGGAGGAGGAAGGAATGTTGGATATGTTTGCTGTCTTGAGTTATTTGCAAAAATAATAAAAGGTGGGATAAAAATAAATTTAAAAACAACAATTCTAGCAATAATACTATTTGGTCAGAGTGGGCTAAAAGAAGACTTGGGTGGGCAGGGACAGGTTGCCCATCTCTACTACTGAAGCTTAATGGGAGAATAGTCTGGACTCTCCACGATCACCTAAACCAGGAGTGAGAAATCATGGCAACCTTACGACCAACTCCCAGAATTCCTGAGGCAGCCATGCTGCCTCAGGAATTCTGGGAGTTGATGCCCACAGGTCATAAAGTTGCCATAATTGCCCATTCCTTGCCCTGCCTAAACACTTACCAGGTGGTAGAGTCTTCTCCTGTTTAGCATTGGACCTCAGCCACCGGTGGTAGGTCTCTCGGCCCACGGGCTCAGTGATGGTGTACCAGGCATCACGGTTATGGCTGTTTGTCAGGCCGGTATACCAGGTTTGAGGGATGGCATCCCACCCCATAGGGGTGAATTTCCAGCGTACGGCCTCTTTTATAACAGGGGCATTCCGGGGTCCCCTCAGAGAAAGGTGCTGATCACTGTCAAAGGGATGAAAAAAAATCTTTTACGCAGATGCATCAAGGCTGGCCAAGAAAAGACAGAGAGGGATATGGATTTAAAGTGACCAGCATGCCCAGAAGTAAACTGAGATCAAGTTCAGTTCAGTCTAAACTTACATTAAATGGTCTCTCAGAAGGAAGGCTCGCTATTCAATGATCACTACTGTATTAAGTGCCAATCAAATTGGAGCAGTGGTTGAACCAAACTGTGATTCAGCTGAAGTAAATATAAAGAGATCTTGACTTTCCATACATACTGATGAGGTCAGAGCTATCAACACATAATCAGACAGGAAATATTCAGATATAGAGAAGGATGGAGCCGAGGTGGCGCAGCAGTTAGAGTGCAGTACTGCAGGCCACTTTAGCTGACTGTGTTCAACAGATCAGCGGTTCAAATCTCACCGGCTCAAGGTTGACTCAGCCTTCCATCCTTCTGGGGTAGGTAAAATGAGGACCCAGATTGTTGGGGGTAATGTAAATATATATATACATTGCTTACTGGTGTACACCGCTTAGAGAGTGCTTGCACTTAAAGCGGTATATAAATCTCATAAATAAATAAATAAATAAATTTGTTGAATTGGAAAAGGCTAGGGAATCGTAAGGAAAGGCTGAACATAGAATTGACAGCCTCAGTAATGAAACTAGACAAATCTATATTATGTTCATATCAATAATACTACATACAGTTCTGATCAAAACATTTAGAAAAGGACACAAGCCCCCCAGAGAAGGGGTCCTCAATCTTGGCAACTTTAAGACTTGTGGACTACAACTCCCAGAATTCCTCAGCCAGCTTGGCTGGCTGAGGAATTCTGGGAGTTGAAGTCCACAAGTCTTAAATTTGCCAAGGTTGACGACCTCTGATCTAGAGTTCCCTTCAACAAGATGGGCAGCATACAAATGTGATGACAAGAGGTAAAACAGACAAAAGAAAACCCTTCCTATGATGAAATCTCAAGATGTAGAGTTGCCCAAAAGATAAAGGAATTTATCAATCCACAAATGACAGGTCTATTGGAGGTTAGTCTTACTTCTGGGTTGTGGGACAGCAGTCTGAGGAAAACAATGTTAGTAGAGGGAGATGTTTCCATCTCCTATGAGCATCCCAAAGGCATCTAATTGGCCACTGAGAGACACCAAATGTTGGGTAGGAGGGCTACTCTGCCCCAGAAGGGCCATTCTTAGTTTCAAAAATCTACCTCCTCAAGCTTGTTGTGGGAGTAATTTAATGGCTTATAATGGGATCACAGTGGCTCACGTGCTTAGGATGCTGGGTTGATGATTAGCAAGCCCATGTTTGAGACCCGAGTGCTGCTGTGTGGCAGGGTGAGCTCCTGTCATTTGCTCCAGGTCCTGCTGACCTAGCAATCACAAGTAGATAGATAGGTCCCACTTTCGGGGGTACGTTAACAGGGACATGAAAGGAGTCCCCCTGGGAAATGGTGATGTCATCAGCTTAACCTTTCAAGCCAGAAGCATGATAAGTACTTCCAACACGCACACAAGCGAATGACTTATAATCCAGAATTCTCTAAAGAGTTGCATAAAGAGTAAAAAACAAAACAAAACAAATGTGATGAAAAGTGAAGGAACCAACTGTTTTTCCTTTATGTTCAACCTGTTATTTATTCTTTGAAAAAATGATTCATCTGGCCGTTGGCTTTTCGGAGCTGAATAGCCAAATCAACAGTTCTGAGCAATAACTGCGGCAAAATGAAATAAATTTATAGATATCCATTCACTTTCTGCAAGTCTCCAGGCCCGCATTTTGTAGAAAGGCTCATTTTAAAGAATGGGACTTTGGAGGGGAAAATGAGCTTATTTAATCCACTATTTGGAACACAAATGTTGTTCTACATCTGGAAAGAGAGGTTTGCAACATGACCTTAATGACCTGACACACTCCCTGAGCCCTTGAAATATGTCCGCAGAAGGGAAACAACCCCGTTGAGAGTGGAAGGGAAAGCACTGGACAGAGAGCAAAGGCACAATGGAGAGATTCGTAAATTTGCAAGATCCAAAGTCCAAACTATAGGAATCGGGAGTGTCTAAAAGGTGGCTGCCACAGTTGGACTGAATCTTTGCTGAATAAACATAACAAAGAGGTGGAGCTTTGATCACTCTTGCAGCCACCATTTTGGCTTTTTTGACCACATCCTACAGTGATCCCCTGGTAAGAAAGTATTCCCGCAGTAAGCTAAGAAGGAAGGAAGGAAGGAAGGAAGGAAGGAAGGAAGGAAGGAAGGAAGGAAGGAAGGAAGGAAGGAAGGAAGGAAGGAAGGGGGGGAAGGGAGGAAGGAAGGGGGAAGGAAGGAAGAGGGAAGGAAGGGGGCGGGAAGGAAGGAAGGGAGGAAGGAAGGAAGGAAGGAAGGAAGGAAGGAAGGAAGGAAGGATTGATTCTGGGAATTGAAGTCCACATATTTTCAAGTTGCTAAAATTGAAATTATTGCCATGATTTAATGATGTAAGGAAGAGATTTCTCCCTCTCAAATAGAGCCCAGGATGTGGTAGTGGTTTGCACCATCATGAAGACACTCACCTGTACAGTGGAGTGGGGAAGTCAGTCTCTAAGGTGTGAAGAGGGACATATGGACGATTTAATACCAAATCCCGGTATGACAGGTTACGGAAGTCCATAGCAAGCCTGTGATGTCCCCTCCTGCAGCCCAGGCCAGCTTAAGAGAGTTTACCTTTGGCTGGAGGTAAGAGCAAGATGAGTCAGTCATTGTTTGACTTGCATACCTCCTGGCAACCATCCCCTTAGCAACCAGTGCAGCAACAGGGAGACAATGAATGATGGAGAATGTTAGACTGGAAGAGCAAGGAAAGGTTTTCTGTAGTAAAAGATCCTCATCATGAAAAGTCCCCAATTTTAATAGAAGAGAAGAAGGGGCAATGTCCTCCCCGCCCATTCCTCCCTCCTGGCATTGCTTGCAATTGTGTTGGCTGTATTCATACATCTTTGGGGGGGTTGGAATGATGTTATGAGAAATTGTGGGAAGCTGGGAAAGGAATGGAAGAGAACACAGGCACCAAGAAACATGGAATCATTCCAGGAGACTCTGCTAAATTAAAAACCTTTCTGTATGGGTGGGAAATTTCTCTTACATCAGTTTTTTTTTTTTAACATTGGCAACTTTGAAGATACACAGACTTCAACTCCCAGAATTCTTCAACCAGACTTGTTGGCTGGGGAATTAGTCCATACATCCTAAAGTTGCTGAGGTTGAGAAAACACTGGTCTAGGGGTTCAGACAAAGAGGGGATCCCTTTCCAATCTCAATCCCTGCCAATGAAGCAAATATTGTTCAAAATTAAATTACTTAAATGTATTTACTGATTCTGAAGCTTTCTGACTTTTTAAAGAAGGAAATTCTTTAGCACGGCAATTAAGTCCATACATCTACAGAAGTTGCCCCAAAGCTTGAAGTGGCCTTACATTTGTCAAGATTCTGCGTTTACCCCAGACAAACATTAAAGCTGCTTACTGCAATTTGTGTTATTCTTGCTTTTTTGATACTGGGGCTTGACTAAGGTGACCAACATTTTTACAATGATATTGTAAAAATTATTAATTATTATTTACAAAAATATCGTAAATAAAAGAAACATTTTATTCATTGCAACAATAATACAGACAACTTGCATGTGCAAAGTTTGCCAGCCGGGTGTTTTGGCGCGCAAAGCAGCAATTCCTATTGGCTTTCGAAAGCCAATAGCGGGAGTAGCACAGCTCATGCAAAAGTTGAAAAAAAAAAACCATCAAAAAAAGGTGCCGGAATGCCGTTCTGAGCGTTCTATGAGGGGAAAAAAAGCCCTGCAGATTAGTCTTCAAATATCGAAAAGGAGGACATGTAGGAGGACACTTTTCGAGGGAGGAAAGCACTTACAAAAGGAGGACTGTCCTCCCTAAAGGAGGACGGTTGGTTACCTTAGGACAGATCTCTGAATCCAAGCGGGCAATTTGTAAACCATGGCTTCTAGCTTGGTTTGTTGTGGTAATATAGGTAATTGTGGCTTATGCGGTAAGCCACAGATAAGCAATCAACAGCATACCCTCCTTTGTGACTCCATTTGTTATTTTAGCAATACAGTAGATTTTGCAGTTTTCCACAATTAAAAAAGATTTGAGTCTATGTTCCAAGGATTTTGTTTTCTCTTATTTAAGCTCTGCTTGAACACTTTTATCTCTCTCCACAGTAGCTGGCAAAAAAGTCAATATAGTTATGATACTAACTGCTGATGTTGTCAGTCAGTCTCTATTAAAATAAAGAGACAAGACTCATAGGATGTAATATTTGATAAAGTCCACTTAGTTGGTTAGTGCTACCTTTTATCCATTCCATTTTTTAACATGTTCTCCAACCTATTGCTCTCCAGATGATTTGGACTACAACACATCTGGATAGGGCCAGGGTGATGAACAGCTTTCTTACATGCAGAACTGATAATGCCAGTCTTATGAATGAAGTGTATTAGGATTGTAGAAGTACAGAAGGTTCTTTGTGCCTTCTTTGATTGGAATGAACTTGTGACCCCAATGCCAGCTAGGGGCATGCTGGGAGTTGTAGGCTTAACAATATATGCAGGGCATCCAGGTCAGCATTCTAGACGTATAGTTTCTCCATTCCTTTTCATTTTTTTTTCATTGTGAAACAAATTGACACATGTTGGCTATAAATACAGTTCTGGCCAATTGTATTTATAGGCACAATTTAGCATAACAAGGAAGGACTCTAGCTTGGCTTGGCAATTTACCTTTTTTCCGCACATTCATATGTTTGGAAATATCAGCTGACAGCTGTCAGCCTGGGTTTGAGACATGAGTGTCACGCAATGGGGTAAGCTCCCATTACTTGCCCCTGCTCCTGCCAATCTGGCAGTTCAAAAACATGCAAATGCAAGTAAATAAATAGGTACCATTTTGATGGGAAGGTACCAGTGTTCCATGTGCCTCTATATATAGTCATGCTGGCCACATGGCCACGGAAGTGTGGTCAATGCTTGCTCTCTTGGCTAAGAAAAGAGATGAACACACACACCCTGAATCAAACTTGACTAGACAGGGGGAAACCTTTACCTTTTTAAAATAATAATAATAAAGTTGGAAGGGATCTTGGAGATCAACTAGTCCAACCCCTGCCTATACCATTTCAGACAAATGGCTGTCCAGTCTTTTCTTAAAAACTTCCAGTGTTGAAGCATTCACAACGTCTGGAGGCAATTGTGACTAATTGTTCTCTCTCTCAGGAAATTTCTCCTTAGTTCTAGGTTGCTTCTCTCCTTGATTAGTTTCCATCCATTGCTTCTTGTCCTGCCTTCATGTGCTTTGGAGAATAGCTTGACTCCCTCTTCTCTGGGCAGCCCCTTAGATATTGGAAGACTGCTATCATGTCCCCCTCATCCTTCTCTTCATTAAACTAGACATACCCTACTCCAGCAACTTTTTTTTTTATGTTTTAGCCTCCAGTTCCTTAATCATCTTTGTTGCTCTTCTGTGTACTCTTTCTAGAGTCTCAACAACTTTTTAACATAGTGGTGACCAAACCTGGATGCAGTATTCCAAGTATGGCCTTACCTAGGCATTGTAAAATGTACTAACACTTCACAAGATCTTGATTCTATCCCTCTGTTAATGCAGCCTAGCACTGTGTTAGCTTTTTTGGCAGCTGCAGCACACGGCTGGCTCATATTTAAGCGATTGTCCACTAGGACTCCAAGATCCCTCTCATAGTTACTACTATTGAACAAGGTACTACCTATACTATACCTGTACATTTGGTTTCTCTTGCCTAAATGTAGAACCTTACTTTTTCACCACTGAATTTCATTTTGTTAGATAGCACGCAATGTTCAAGTCTGTCAAGATCCTTCTGTATCTTAAACCTATCTTTTGGAGTGTTGGCTATTCCTGCCAGCTTGGTGTCATCTGCAAATTTGATGAGTTCCCCATCTATCCCTTCATCCAAATCATTGACAAAGATGTTGAAGAGTACTGGGCCCAGAACAGAGCCCCAGGGCATGCCACTATGCACTTCCCTCCAGGTAGATGCAGATGCAGTTCCATTGAGGACCACACAGTGAGTACAGCTGGTCAGCCAGCTACAAATCCATCTAGTGGTGATGTTGCCTAACCCACATTTTTCAATCTTATCAAGTAGTAGGTTATGGTCTACTTTATCAAATGCCTTACTGAAGTCCAAGTAAATTATATCCACAGCATTCCTCTGGTCCACTAATTTTGTCACTTGGTCAAAGAATGCAATTAGATTTGTCTGGCATGATCTGTTTTTGACAAACCCATGTTGGCTTTTAGTAATGACTTTGTTTGCCTCTAGGTGTTCGCTGATTCATGCTTGATTATCTTTTCCAGAATCTTTCTGGGTACTGAGGTCAGGCTGATAGGTCTGTAGTTTCCTGGATTTAATTTCCATTTCAGAGTCCCATGCTATCTGTGTGTGGTCATATTATTTCTGACAAAGCAAGTCAAAGGGAAGGAATGAAGTCTATTTCAATATGCAGCACACTAAAGCAAAATCACGTCAGTCAAATTTGTTTTAACATGTTTTTTTAAAGTCCTGTCAGTGATTTCTAAACCATGACTTACGCTTGAATGTGTTGTGTGAACGCAGGTGATTAGGATTTATTTTAATAAGTTATAGGTCAATAAACCATGGATTATAAATATGTTTTGGAAAACGACATGCTTAAAATAGATTTCAATCCCTTCTTTGAAACCTTCCTGGAGGAAAAGGCAGGAGTGTGCAGTGTAAAAAGAAACTAGAGGCATTATTTTTTATGCAGATTTTCCAAGTTATGTTAGCTGATAAAATATTTTGAATGCGCATGTGCCTGTACAAGAAATGTTAATGATGGTGCATTTTTTCTTCCTCACGAAGGGTGACACCTCCCCAGCTGCGTTTCTTGCCTGTTTTTCTCCGTCCCTCATCTCAAATATTTTCCCACCACTCTGTAAGGAAGGAAGGAAAGGAGAGGGAGGGTATGAGGGAAGTCCTGCCTTAGTTCTGCCCTGCTGCCCTTTCACCATCCCCTTGCCCCCTCCTCCTGGCCTATCCTGGGGGCCTCCAATCCTATTGCTAAGGAAGCTTTGGATACAAAGCCCGGTCTCCTCCCATGGAGAGAGAATGGGCCTCCCTCTGACTTTGCCTCGTACCCATCATGAGCAACCTGGTTAAGGAGAGCAAGCACAGCAGCAGCAGCCTTGAGGAGGAGGTAAGTGCAGCTGGGCGCCCCCTTGGGGAAGTGGGACTGGGATTGGTGCCGCAGGTGCTTGAGGGTCAGGCTGGGCATTTGACCTCTGCTGTCCAGGGCTCCAGGCAGCCCGCACCACCATCCAACTGCCCAGCATGGCCTGAGAGGAATGGTGAGGCTCCTCCAGTGGACCATGCCTTGGCACTTGCCCTGATCCCACCCCCTTCTGCCAGAGACCCTCAGATCTGCCCCAATCCTGCCCAGGCCCCCACAGGCACCCTTGACGCCAACGATATAGAGCTGGCCATACTCACCTAATAGGCCGCACCCACTCCATCCACACCCACCCACCCTAATAGGCCGCACCCACCCTGGCCACACACACACACACCCCGCTGAGGGCAACCCAATGCTGATGCGGCCCTCAATGAAATTGAGTTTGACACCCGTTCTAAGTTCTAATATAGTTTTAGTTTTGGGATAGTAACAATAGCAACAGATAAATTATTGGAAGATTGAAGCACTGGTTGGGGACAGATGTTTCTGAAGAAAATCTTACATGGTTGCCGAGAACCCACAATGATTGATGGTAGATTAGCAATAAATCAACACGTTTTGGCATAATATGAGCCAAATATGAGCCTGGCCATAGCTGCACGTGTACTGTGGTTTATGATTTATTGTTGTATAAACCCAGACATTTAAGGCTTATTCAACAACTTATGGTTAAAGCATTTGTGGATGTTGATATCCAGCCCAGTTAACACATTGAGCTAAATGAGTTGACTATGGTTAAAAACTACAGTGACTAAGATCAAACACAGCCTGAAAAACCAACAGCAAACAGATGGTATTATGGCATGAATACAAAGTGTGAAATCAGTGTCTGTGAGGCTACCCATAGGTTCCATGAGACATTGCTTGCTTCTATTCATGGAGGCTTGAACTGGTTTCTATAGCAACTAAAGACAATCTGGTGTACGTTTTAACATTTTTGAGATGATTAGAACAAATGAAGAGCTTTTAATTTCCCACGTTAAAAGAATCATTTGTAATCATCTCATCTATTATTTTCAATTGTGTTTTATCAAATTTTAAATAGTTTTTTAAATTATAGTTTGCCAAATCTCAATGGCTGAATCCATAGTTTATGGCTTACTGTATTGTCAGCTACCATTCAAAGGCACAGATATTGTATACAATACAGTTTGGTTTGGGCAGAATCATGTTTTGTGTGAAGAGAGGCACCATAACTAAAGATCAGAAAGCCTGGTCTATCTAAAAACGTACAGTATCTAAAACAA